AATTTTACTGATCAATTGGGGGTTATTTTTTGGAGATATTTTACAGCGCTTCAATTTTAACAAGGTTTTACAGTTACAAAAAATATTTGAAATTTCACGAAAGTCTCCAATCATCATCCGTGAAGTTGAAAATCGACATTATGTCGTGTCCTATGTCATTGTAAACTGATTTGATCCTTAAACTTAAAGCAACGACTACTATTTCCAAAATTGTATTATTTTATTTATTTAATTTTGGATACGTCAAAATGGCCGACATAGGACCAAGTGAAATTAAACGTGAAAACATGGCGTCGACTAATAAATCATTTTTATCGCCAAGAAAATATTTAATAAACAAATTCAATATTTATAAAACATATTTGATTTATAACGTGTTATATAATGCAGTTCCATAAAACATATGTGTTTTATTATCTAAAATGACATAGCGAAAACTATTACTTATAATATTCCAGTCATTGCAATGTTGCCATGTCAAGAACAAACCTGTACCTACATATATTTTCAATTTTGTATGGATGAAAATCAAAAGTTACTAGTAAATTTTGAACTTCATTTATATAAAAAATCATACTTATCAGAACTCGTGGCCGACAGAATTGATTCAAAAAAGTTGGAATTTGAAATTGAAAGAAAATAGTCATACTTGATAAGAGTTTTTGACCACACCGTAACAATTCCAACAAGTTTTTAATTATATAATACTAAATAGGTAGGTATATACATTACACCTTCTCTGCATTTTAATTTTTAGTTGACTGTGGTTTATCATGTATTTGCGTAGGGCATTTTTATTAAATTTCAAATAAATATTTTGGATTCAGAAGAAAATGTGGGTCAATCGGTCAATATGTAACTTTTCAAAAGTTTCACATTATCTATGGCTTTCAAGACGCTGCATTGGTGACCAATCAATAATAGGTGGTTAAACACAAATCACTTTATTATCTTTTACCCACTTTGTCAACGTCGCATCGCCTGTTCTGAATCTTCAGAAAAATTGCTTAAATAACAATATTATTATAAAGTTTATCTGACTGTATCAATTTTACGATACTTTTATCATAGAATACATTTATAGTCAAATTAGAAATTGGACACCTTATTGTTACTATTCTATGTTATTTTACGTTATTATAACCTTAACGTCCCTAAAACGGATACATGCTGTTTAAATGACACTAAATCAGATCTTTCGAAATTAGCTTCTATTGTCCGACAAATACCATTTTAAAGCCACGTGATACTGGTGGCAAAAAACGTATGTCCATTGATTATGCCGTTGATATCACCTACAAAAAGCTACTGGTGGGTAATTACTATTGAATTTTAATATAAACTAGTCAAAACGAAATAAGGACCACTTTTGAAAACCCATTTATTTTTAATGAATTTTGAATAACCCTGGTAAAGTGTTTATTTCCATTCACAATATAAATTTTTTGTGCACACTTTATTTGTTTATCTATACTTATTGTAAATGAAAATACTCACTTTACCAGGGTTATTCGAAATTTAATGAAAACCTGCTCTTAAAAGTGGTCCTTATTTCGTTTTGAGTAGTATATGTTCCCACTAGCATTTTACAAACGCGTTTCTGAAGTAGTATTGACCAATCAGATGAGAATTTTAATACTTGCAATTGTTGCGAGACTCACTTTTGTCGCTTCTGCTGCCCCTTGTAATACATTCTGAACTTGAATTGGGTATCCGTTTTCTATTTGCTTCTTTTCCAGTTGGAAAAAGGTTAATATAGTCAAAATTATTAGCTGTGTTTGCTCGTTGTATTATTTTCGAAAATTAATTTGACAAACTAATTGATGACAGTGACGGATTCTATTTCAGGTAAGAATATTATGAACAATAATTAGACAGCAATTTTTTTGTCAATTTTACTATCACCGCTGTTTGTGATGTATTCAACAAGGATAGAGAAAAATCACGTGACTTTAAAATGGTATTTGTTGGACTATACCTCTTTCCTAAAATTGCCACTTTTTAATATTATCCAGCAAGAAATGCTTGACATATTGATAATTAGCAACTAGGTATATCAATTTTCACTGGAATTAAAACTAGAAATGTCAACATTTTTCTGCAGCGTAGGTAGATAAACTAAATTTTAGGTTAGTGCTATAACATTTTTATAAGGTTACCTTAATAATTTTGTATTTTGTGAGACACTTCTGTTGTTTAACCCGTTTTTAAGTGCTTTATTCAATGTTGTTATGCAACAATTAAAAAATAATTTTATAAGAGTATTGAACGGAACTAAATTATTGCTAAGAATGAACTGTTTTATAAATTATTCTCCATAAATACTATAAAATCAAATTATAAAGCAGTTATTAAATCGAAATGCATACTTTTATAAGTTATATATATCTGTTTTTGAATATTGCTATAAAGTAACTTCAAAATATATCTATCTCAAACAAAAACAGTTTTATAAGTCTTGTCATATAAATATTTATGAGCAAGTTAATTACCAAACTTAAAAAAATATTATATAAATTAATCTTGAAAATATCTATATGGCAAAATAACAAAATAAAGTTGTTTTCATGATATATTTGTATTAATTGAGTCTCTTAAAAATCAATTTTGTTACTTCAAATGCTCTAATAAATCGGATATAAAGCACTTCAGTCTAATAACAATATTTTTGTGCTACTTGGGAAACTTTTCAAAATATGGTTAATGGAAATGATTTATGAAAATTGGTCGGTAAATTTTCAAAATATGGTAAAATAAAACGATTTTTAAGGAAATAATTGATTAGCAAACTTTTCAAAATAGACAAAATATGGTAAATGCAAAAAAAAAATAATAGGGAATGTTTCAAAAATCGAATAGTATCATAAAAAACAAACAAAAAATAAACGAGACAATTCTTTAAGTAGGTAAAAATAAACTGTACCGAACATATAAATTATATCATTTATTTATTTGTATCATGCGTATGTTCAACAAATGCATCATAGCGACGCAAAAAAGCTTCTAACGATTCTGCAAATCATTGAAAATATTTATTAAGAGTGGTTTCTGAAATTTTTCTGTGACTTGTTTCAAACTTGAGCCTTTATTCCTTCCAAATCCGTATGACCGGAAATAGTGCTCTACTAAGAAAACTGTTTCTTAAGTTGAAAAATACATAATGACGAAGATTTTAACCTTAACTTAATGTCAACCTCATAACTAATGCCAAGTAAGCAAAATATGATAAATGCAACTTACGTACGCAATTCCTCAGAGCTCTAGATTTCGGTACTGTTTATTTTGGCAGATACCGTACTTACCTACATCAAAAGAATAGGCTCCATGGAATCGTCGTGTTCTCGTCGTGTTCACTTCGAGTTGGGATTCTTCCGTATTCTTTTTCTGTTTAAAGGATTAGAATCCGCCGCTATCAGTTAAAATATTCTTGTTCTGACAACGTTGACAGATCCTACCGACTGCGCCAAATTGTTATCTCAAAAACTCTTGAAATCACTTTTCAAAAAAACACTAATTTATTTTAAAAAACAAGTTACAACAATATTGGACATTAACTCAACTAACTTAATAATGACGAATAATGACTCTTAAAACTAAAGAGACAGGATCTTTTATATTTTAAAACATGTTGATCTTGCTGTTTCTATGGGATCGTTGCGACGATGGAGCGGTTCTTGGCATGACATGTTCAGACCGGATAACTTGCTGAAGTAGCGTCTAGACTTCGCGATACTTTGTACCACCGTGGTGATGAGACGCATTTTGAGGTCAATGTAGTCGTGAAATCCATATAACATGGATACCTTTAACATGACCCGTTTTTGCGACGTTGTTATATACAGGGGTGTTCCATTAAAAATAGTGCTGAATTTCGATGTTGGAAAACGGAATTTTTTTACTCGCCCTGTATGAGAGGCAAAAAAAATTCCAACCTGCTAAAAAAAACTCTGGCCCAAGAGAAGTCGAATGGCGCAAACCGCAGGTAGTTAGCACACCTGGTTTACAAGTAATAAGCATTTAAAATGGGTCACTCAGCTGGGACACCCTGTATAATAATATTTAAAATATGCTTAAAATTTCTCGTAGAATTCAAAAACTTTAATAATATAGGAGGTGGTCCATTTAAAATAGATAAGTTGATTTCACTTCCGGTCGCACCGGAAGTCAATTGTTTTTATCATATCGAATATCGAACATTCTCAAAAATTTGAAACCGTGGTCACCCGGTATATTATAATACTCTCTATAGTCTAGGAGCTACTCTACAACGAGAATAGTACTTGAACTTTCTCACTGAAAAAATTTCTGACAGCAAAGCAATTTCAGTAGTAATAGCCCAAGGACATTGATAATTATCCGAAAAAATTTTATACCAGATTTCGAAAGCTTGTTACTTGAAAACAGACCGACGCGTTAGCGGAGGTCTGTTTTCTATAAGCAAGCTTGAGAAAGTTGTGTAAAATTTTTATTTATCAATGTTCGAGGGTTATTCGGATAGGAAATTTTTTGACGGCAATGTCCAAGGCAATGTCATAGAGTGAAAACAACCCTAGGGCTGTTTTCAGTATAATGTTGACATGATTGGGTGATTTGTGTCACATGACAATAAATAACAAAATTTAATTGGCGGTTAGAACTTTCAAAAAAATTTCAATGAAATAAAATAATAAGTAAGTGAAAAATAGTTAACATTAACATGATAAATATTTACCAAATAAAGTGGAGACATGCCAATCAAAATCTCACAATATTTTAAACATGAAATCAGACATGCAAAGAATCAATAAACAAAATTCCGCCTATCCGTCCGTCGATCAGTATATTATGCACCTATGTTCATTGAGGAAGTAAACTACTATACTTCCTTATTTCCGCGTCTGTTTTTCCTGGATGGATGGGGTTGAGGGAGGTATCGTATCGCGCGTCAGGAAGGAAAACTATCACCATCATTATCCAACCATTCAGTCAGTCGCTCTTTCGATTTCAGCTGTGGCGCAGAACGCAAAACCTTTAGCGAATTGCGCTTATTTCAGCGACGGAAGCGAAAACTTTGCACACACCACCTGTGGTTACGGAACGGAACGAAAGTAAATAATACGAAGTGTAAAAGTAAACGTCGCGAATTGCCTAATTAACTTATAAAAAATTGCTTCTTTGATCGCGATTGCATGGCGATAGCGATTACGATGTTATTACTTGTTGTATTGTTTTGAAACTTTCTATGATGGTGTTTGTTGACTAATTTTTCTTTGGAAAATTTCAAGTAAATCGCAAGAAGATGTAAGTACTGGTTTTAAGTTTTTATAGGTTCAATAAGAGTTAATTACCAAGTTCGTTTGATTGATTCTACAGAAAAAAGACAAATGCAAAGTAACATTGAATAATAACTGAACATTCATGATTTTCTATGAATTTGTAGAATGACTAATTCTTCGTTTATTTCCTGTATGTTATTTATTAAACACAATTTGTGTATTAATCAATTTCCAATACTGGATGTTAGTTCTTCAATTAATTATTCAGGAACATCAGGTTTATCGGCATTAGAGTGTTGATGAGTGTGGACGAGTGTTGAGTTTGAGTGTCGCTAATGCATCATTTTGAAAACAAATTCTCTTTGCAAAATTAACCGGTATCTATCTTGATAGGTACTGAGTTTATTGATGAACGCGTTGAAAAGAAAAACAAAAATTTAATTAAAATGAATTTCAATAAAATTTTCGTTAATTTCCTGATTCAGATATGTACCTAGGCTTGAAAACAATTGTTTTATATGAGTTGTTGGACATTTAACACTTTTGATAATAGGTATAAAATATGTAGGTATGTAGATTAGATAGAGGGTTGTTGAAAATACATATTTAACCCCTCCGACTTGTAAGTACCCCCAAATTTAGAGGTGCGTTTTTGATAAACGAACACAAATGCGCCTTTTTTTCAAATTAGACCTATTTCGCATGATTAGAAAAGGAGAGCTTAATTGTAATAAATACAAGTTAGAAAGTATTAAAAGATGACATGCGCACGCAACTGGGGGCTGCAGTGTAGCCAGATTGTATTGTTGCAGAACAAATGTAGACAATACAAATCGAACATTATAACATTAAAGAAGTGATATAGTGTCAAGTGTTTTACAACGCCTTAAATCAGACAAAAGAACAGCTTTAAAGTATATGTCAACATCGTTTGCACTTTTATTTTGATAAAGGTTTCATCCGCCAACATCACTGTATAGGGTGAGTCACATGCATTACATTTAAAAAAAGTGAACATCGACATATTTTTTTACTTTGCGTTGCTCAGCTCATTTGTTATGGATTGTCGTATTCAATTCCATCTAGGTAGTAGTAGGTAAGCCTGAGGGAAAAGCACGTGCTCATTTGCACCATTCAGCAGCCAAGTGAAAAAGCATAGTTCATCAGTTAAAAATACTCTGAATGATGTTCGGTTGAACCCACGAAAATATTGTTCAATATTTATGATGAATTGAATGATCGAGAGCATTAAAGATGTTCACCCGGATGTGTTCCCAAACGTGCTGTTAGGACTTTTGTCGATTAGTTGTTCGGACTCGGATATACTGCAGATAGTTTTGTTGATTCCGCTAAGGCTTCAGCAAAGTTACACCTTTAGAATCCACACCATCTACGTTTTAACCCATGTCTTGCTTCGTTTTGTTGGGAATTAGGTCACCATTGTCGCTTTTCATCCAGCCCCATGCTGCAGGATCCAGGCGATTACCCAGCCATTCTTGAACCTTAAATATTTGAAATTTAAACTAAGTTATTCATTTTTAAATGCTTTTTATTTAGTTACCTGATAATAAACTCTCAGTAGATGTTGTTCTGCGGCTTTTTCTGTAGGAGGCAGCACGGCTAAATTCAACTGTCCTGAGAGTATCTGCCTGGAAGCGATTCTATGATACATGAAGTACCGAAGTTCATTTAGACTTGAGGAAGTTTTGGCATTGTATAGCTTTAGTAAAAACTCTATACCAGCTCTTAAAATGTTTGGTTGTGAAGCATCTTCTGCATAAAATGAAGTTAGTGCTTCGAACATTTGTGGATTCTTCCTAAGAACAGTGTCGCATCCCGATACTGCATATAAAAAGAATATTTTTTCTTTAGCTGGGTCGAGGCATTTTTGTAATTCCGATATATTTGTAACTCTATCCTTTGTTCCAGCTTTTCCAGGACGCAGTAAGATATTTTTTTTACCATGGTGAAGAGCCAAAACCATTATATCAGTATCTTCTGAAACAAGGATCACATACTCATGCTTGGAACATAGCTCTATAGCTGTCAAGCAAACTAAAACATCGGCATCTCTTTCGGCCTGATAAACTGTTACTCCTGCTTCTTGGGAAAAACTTTTTGGCAAAGTAATGATTTTTTTTTTTCATTATTTTTCAAAAACTCCTCCTGTGTGCAGGAAACAGCTGTATCTAGATTGATGAGATCAACAACAAGGCTTTGATTGGAACGTAATTTTTGCAGCTGGCCTTTGGTCGAGAAATGTGTTTCGTCATATCCATCAAAGATGACTACGCAGTTTCTACCATAAGAGTGTACAGCGTAGTTCACATATTGTATACATATTTCCCGATAGGTAGCTGGCTTTTGCCAGACAGCTTTATGTAAAACTAGTCCCCCGTCTAAAACATATACAGTGTTGTTAGGACAATTAGGAGTGTGCTGTCCTGGTGGCAAAATAGAATCAAATTCTTTCAATAATTGCGATTTTGAACCACCTCTTAAGTGACCATCTTTAAACAATGAGAGCGGATACGGAGCTAGCTCATAAGAGAAACATTCTTTAAGTTGTTCAGGAGATTTGTTAGAGCAGATAATTCGCTTGAAAAGCTGCATTGGATTTATGACCACTTCACGTTTATTTACAATAATTGTGTTATTTATCTGTGCAAAAGTAATTACCTGCTTTTTTTTTCACACATTTAATCTGTGTACTTCTTTCTAGAATTTTCATTCAATATTTTACTGCCTACCGACTGTACTTTATCACAATTTACGGTATCATGTGCCACAGCTTGAGAATACAAGGATATAAACTTCCTAGACTCAAAAGGATTGTAAGTTTCTAACCAGTCTGAAAATTTGCTCAAGTCATTTTCATCACGTTGTTGTCGCGAATGTCTGAGTTCAACATGTTCCGATGAAAAATTTTCAAGCATGTTAGTTACGGAGCTACAAGGTGCCATACTAGCAATCCAACGCGCTAGAGTAGTCTCTATGAAACCTCGCCTTTGTGTTAATCCTCCTTGTGTTTTTATTGCTATCATTGAATGCTGTTCTATGACCATATCGCTCCATGTTCCACACCAAAACGCGTCTGTTGTTTTTATAGCAAACATTCCTTGAATAGCAAATTTATTATATTCATCAGTATTAAGTATTTCTAACTTATTCATTTGCATGACATATAATCCATTCACAATCCGATGTCCATAGGTACAGGTAAATTTATCACCTTTCAATGCTATTTGATAGGGAAAGGTGATAAATTTACCTGTATCTGTGGACATCGGATTGTGAATAGGATATATAAATGTGCACATTTGGCATAATTATTATGGCCGGTGGCGTAAAAACTTGGAATCATACGTTTCGTACAGTATACCGGGTGACAATGAAACTACTACCCATGGCGGCATTTCTTAACGGCTCGAGATAGAAATACGCAACTCGGTTTGTTGATAGGGTTGAAAATTGTGAACAATTTTAATATAAAAACAATTGAATGTCTTTTCCGGTTTTACCGGAATTGGCAGTTTTTACGTAAAATACAAACAAATAGGAATTACGACATATTTTTAAGCCACTCTATTTCAAAAACTATCAATTTTTGACATAGGGTATGTTAGACAAAAGTTATTTAGAATCGTTCAGAGAGTCCAAAAAATATATATACAGGGTGTCCCATTTAAAATAACAAAGTCAATGCCATTTCCGGTAAAACCGGAAAAGATATTCAATTGTTTTCATATTAAAATTGTTCACAATTTTCAACCCTATCAACAAACCGAGTTGCATATTTCTATCTCAAGCCGTTAAGAAATGCCGCCGTGGGTAGTAGTTTCATTGTCACCCGGTAGATGTAATGACCAATTACTTTTCCTTTCAGCCCTCACGTACAGTTTCATTAGATAGACCATTTTCCAGTAAAATATCCAGATCCAGAGAATTTTCTGATATTCTTGCCAATGTCTCGTCATTTTCTACATTTTTAGTAACTAGGTTATCATATAGGTATCCTAATGTTTCAATTTCAGCCTCGTCCAATGAAACATTTTTAAAGATGAGAGTGCTTAAGGCATCATGGGTTAAAAAATGCGCCCGAAATGCCCGAGCATAGGCATGCGCAGATATCATGTGGATAATGGAATTTTTTTGCATAAACAGTCTGCCATAATTCTTCGATACCAGAGCCACTCATAAGGTGCCCAAGGCTACCTAAAAAAGACATAAGGGTATGGAAACCTCCAAGTCGAATGATTACTGAGGATAAAATATGGTTCGGATTCGAAGTTTCCACAATATCAACTACCTTTAGAAACAGTGGTTGATCAAATGTTATTATACAGGTCTTTCCGTACTTCTTACATTTTTCAGCAGCAAATAATAACGACGTATAGATTGTGGTCGTATTGCCTGGGTCCAAGTTTATTAATGGCAGCGGCAATATGCTGCTATTTGTTTTAGAGCCTAGAGCCTCCATATTCTCCTGTTGACATGTAACCGCTCCACGAAGGATTCAATCCAGTTTTATAGAATTTTCGGCTAGTCCAAAGAGTTTCCAAGGCTATAGTGCTAGTTTTTCACCAGGTATATTTATATGTAATTGACCTTTTGTTTGGACGCCATATTGCGGTGCGCGAACATAGTTGCCACAAGAAGAAAATAAAAATTAATAACGGGCTGTCAACATTAAAAACAAAACTAACTAAATTATTGATCCTCGCTATCCATTTTGTTTGTTTACTTTCTCTCTCTGATTCTATGCCCAATACATCTTTCGTCAGATCGAAGTTAACTGGCGTTTACTAGCGTTAGTAAACCTTTTTTTCCTATATTCACTAATGTTTTAGGACTACCTTTTTCACCGCATATTGCACATTTGTTTACCTCCATTTTGTTAACAGAAATCGACATAAAACATCACTATTCTAAACAACACCACTATAGAACGATACTTTGCGTCTTTGCGTTGATCGGTGTACCTACACATCGTAGGTATGCGCCGGTCAAGCTCAAATAATGCCGATCAATAATTCAGCCCAGGGACTCTGTGTCATGTAGAATTCTACATATCGACAAGATTCTATAGTCTCGACCCTATGTGCGGCATCCGGATATGTTTCGATGTATCGAATTCTACATGGCACGGAGTCCCACCACATAATTTTGTGCTCCTCCATTATTTGAACTGCGCATGCGAAATAGTTCCGAACAAGTTCCGAATTCTTACCGCGGCACGAATTATATTTTATTTTTAACCATATATGAAATGTTGTCATTACTGACTTTTCAAAAATTTGAAAATGTCACATTTCTGTCTTTTCATTTTCCTGCTCCATTACCTGTCCCAGGACGGGAAATGAGGACGGGAAATGAGGACGGAAAATGAGGACGGGAAATTTTTTCAGTCCTCATTTCCCGTCCACGGACGGAAAATGGAACAGGGAAGTATTTTCCGTCCTCATTTCCTGCCTTCATTTTCTGACCTTATTGGTTCTCACGAATTTTTTTTTTCCTGAAATTATGGTTAAAAATAAAATACTATACAAACCTCGACGGGAAACTTCATTGCTGTCTCGAGGTTCAGTTTATCTCGACGCTACGCGTCTCGATAAACTATATAACCTCTCGACCAGCAATGAAGTATTTCCCGTCTCGGATTGTAATAAGTATACTATTTCATGTATAAATTACTAGGAATTAATAACTAGCTATTTTTTTCCTACTTGGCAAAATCCTATCAAATGGGACTTTTAGTATGTTATAGTACTAGTCATTATGTGTCGATTTTAGCCAAAACTAGCTTGTCTCTAATTTGTTCTAGGTCGGCCTATTATAAGCTGCTACGTTTCCTGTACTATTAGTTCTATTCAAAAATGGATACTGCTGAAATTCCTATCTTCCTACTGCTATACGAAATTTATAAATTACTCTTGAGAATTATAAGTTAGGATTGAGAACAAACGCGTCAGTACAAACTGACAATCTGCAATTCATTGAGATCGTATTTTCGAATATTCTCGCATACGAAATTTGATACGATTTCGAATTCTTCCCATTTAATTTATATTGCTGTCAATCAAATTTCGTGTACGAAATGTACTCGAATGAATTCGAAAATACGACCCTAGGCCCAGGATTCGTCACATGTCACCACTTTTAAATCGAAAATCCTACAAACAAAATCTACAGAGTATATTCCAATTATTCACTTAGCTTTCGAAGATTATGAGAAAGCTCTTGACTCTGTAAAACCCTGGACAATAATGGAATTAAAATTCAGGTTTAACATATCCCCTGTAATCCCCAGTGAAATAATAAGTAATAATACATTATACAGTTAGGGACTAAAGTGATACTTTTAATCCCGAGACAGAAAGTTTATAATTTGTCGAAGTATGCACTATTTCATGAACTTTACTTTATTTCCCGGGGATTAAATAAAACAGAGAATAAAAGGGTACTTTTAATCCCTGTTTCATTTAATCCCCGTGGGAAATAAAGTGAAATTTAATTCCGTGGATTAAAAGTCCCACTTTACCCCCTAAAAACAGGGTACTTTTAATCCCTAAAGTGCATAAAGTTATTTATATCATTTATTATTAAAACGCAATTACCTATATAAAAGCGTTGGTTGACGTTGTATCAGGCACGTGAGTTATTACATTCAAGTCACTGGGAAAATTCGATTTAAACTGCGTGACATAATATAGAACATTACAGGAAAGGAAAGTAGGAATTTATGAGAGTGAATGCGGTGAAAAATTAAAAAATCCGGTCAATTTTGAATGGTCACCGATGGTGGCACGAAAAAAACACAAGAAACAATATAATTTTTCTCCCATTTTTTTTACTCTGTGAAATGTATAGGGTCTGTTCGTTATAATTAGTGCGGCTTCTACAACTTGAACACAAAAAAAGTTAAATACAAAGATGTAGGGTTTTATCATATATTATATCACAAGGCTTTTAAATCTAATCGATTAAACTATCCAACATATTTTGTTGTTATGCAGAAAATTTACCTAATTTTTTTTCTAGAATTATTTTTATATTCGTTTCGATAGAATTAACCAGCGAGACGATATACACCCATACTGAGCCAAGCCGACCCCTAATTTCAAGGTGGCGGCTAATGCGTCATAGGATTCGCCAACTCAAATTCAAACTTGCACATTACGAAATTTTTCTAATAGTACCTACTGTATATCTAAATAGTTCCGTCTCAACGACAATGCTATTTTTATTGTAAATTTTATGTTGTTTATCCGTTAATGAATCTTACTAGAAATAATTCAATAAGTACTTCCTAGGTAGACACACAAGAGTGCATTACCCCTTCACTACGTCACTCTTCAATTTAAGGCAATTCCTGATCTTTGAGCCTAGTTCAAAGTCCAATCAACCCCTTTAAGGTATACAATTACCAAAACACGAACTCCCACGACTCTTCAAAGCATAAACTTCCCGGAAATTGAAAACTAAATTGGCAACGAATTTTGCACTTTCGCGTTTAGGTTGCTGACATCAGACTTCGGAAAATAATGTTTTCTAAACTTGCGTCTGATAATCAGAAACTTTTCGGTGAATACATGATGGGAAAATCAAAGAGGGAGACGATGGCTGTAGGATTTACAGGATTTTACGTCCCCAGACGTGAAATGTAAATGAGGGTTTATATTGTTTTGTCCTGAATTCTTTGAGAGATTTGACGCGAAATTGTCTTTAGAACTTAGTCTGTGTATGTATAAAGTTAAATTTGATATTGTTTGCAATTTTAGTCAAATAAAATTATCCTTACTATTGGTTTCAGAGGAGAGTAATATATTTACAAGAACATTACGTAAGTACATACCTGCTTCAAAATTGGATTTACACAATTAGAACATTCACGAGTTAAAATTAAATTGTTTTTCAAAAACGGTATTTATTTCTCAACCCAAATATATCGCGCATTATAAACATCACTATTAAATAATCAAAAAGTCACTCGTATTTTATAGCCAGAAATTAATTACGAATAAGGAGCTTCAAAAACACAGTACGGACATGCCGAAAAAGTTAATTGAATTCCTGTTTCTTTACTTCTTCCAATTTTGTGTCTCTGAAATGGAAT